AACAAGTATCTTATTGATTATGATCATGTTGTCAATGACTGTATCCAATTATTATTGATACAGAATAACTTTAACTGGTAACAAACAAGACTGCTGCCATTAGTACATGACATTATCTTGAGCTACCATTAATACATTTTTTTCTACTTCAATGACTAGTTTTAAATTATAATTAATCAATTTACACTAATATTTGGTGCATTAACACACACTGCATGGAGCCGCTACAGTACTTGCTCTTCAAAGGAAACTATTCTAGGTTGAATGCTTGCTAGTGTAAAGTGACAGACATCCTTTACAATGTCTTTGCCTATTTTCGGGATTCTCTCAGCAAAGAAAGACAGGACGGATTTGGCATCAACAAGACTCAATCTTTCATCAAGAGCTGCATGTTCCTAAATAATTAAATATTTAATTTAATGATCATATTATCTTACATGATGTCAGGAAGGCTTCTAGTGCTTCCTTAAGTTCTGTTTTCTTATATTTTGACAATATCTGGTCCAGAAGGTCTTGGTAGCCCTTTCCACCAGCCAAGCCACCAGACATCTTGCTGTGAACATAGGCAGCCATTTTGATTCAAAGCCTCGCCCACTCTAAGGCTAATCCATTAAAATAATTGTTAAACCTCGTAACAATAACAGCGATAATTATCCCTTCGGTGCGGCTTGGCAGCAAAAAGTGGACTAGCAGTCTAGCAGAAAGAAGAACAACGTCTATGGATTGGTGGAATGGCTATGAATGATAGACCTAGTAAGTGTAAATATTATTAGCCTAGTGAGTCATCATTAGTGAATTCTTGTAGCCTGGGGTCATAGTATATACAATACAGAGTGGTCTAGTACAGAGCGGTCTAGCCGGTCTAGTATATGCAACAATTATCATTATGATGGCAACTACAATAGTAGTGCTTCATGCCAGTAAGCATAGCTATGCAGAAAGCATCTGCATGGAGTAAGATTTAGAATTAATTTTTTTTAATTACTTGTTTGTATATTTATGGTGACAGCCTGAGAGGCCGGCGGACGAAAATCCCTGACATGGCTGGAAAGAATGGTCTCTAGTGAAGTCCCGCAAGCTATTTCACCTGTACTTGAACTCTTATAATATACGCACATGTTTATATTTTTCTTTGATACAAAAATAAAATATGTTAGCTGTGTAAAAACAGGTGTTTAAAGCAAGTGTGCTCCCCGTGACAAGAGATAATGTCTTATTCTCCCTCCTGCAAACAAGCTTTAGCTACCCCAATTTCATTTTATGATTAAAATTATGCACAAGGTCATGCTACATGAGAATAGACTGGTTAGTTCTGCCTGCCATATCGCTGAGAGCAGATACCCACCAAAATAACGCCAAAAAGCGGCCGATCTGTTGTGCCTCTCCCGAGCGAACTAAGCGGCATAGAGA